CAGCATAAACACTCTCATCAACAAGGGTTTTAGTTTCCATCTTCTCCGGCACTTACACTCAGTCGCCCGTCCCAAAAGCAGCAGTCGAAAATGGTGAAGAGTCGCCAAGGAAAGAGCGTCAGGTTGTACGTCTGAGGCATGATCCTAGGATACAAGAGGTCGAAGACGAACCAGTACCCAAACACTTCTTTAATCCAGATCGAGGGAGTGGACAACAAGAAGGAGGTAGCCTGGTACCAGGGGAAAAGAATGGCGTACATTTACAAGGCTGAGGTGAAGCAGAATAGGACTCACTATTGGTGCATTTGGGGTAAGGTGATTCGTCCCCATGGAAACTCTGATGTTGTTCGTGCTAAGTTCAAATCCAACGTGTCCCCAAGTCCATGGGAGCACGAGTTTGCGTCTTCATGTACCCTAGCAACATTTGAAGCACTTTAAGTAGTAGTGGAACAGAGTTTGAGCATTGGTGGCTTTAAGAAGGATCTGTTTTGTTTTGTTCTCTCTCTCTCTCTCTGTCTCCTTCCCCATATTTTGGTAATGTTTGTTTACCACCAATTGGACATCAAACTCAATATAGCTGATTTTGACAATTTTGGGCTACTGTTCTGATCTTATTATCAACGATCTTTCAATTTTGATATATTTGATGCTTGCTAGTCTTCTTCCTTCGAAAAATGGAGGTTGGTAATTGCGGTTTCGTTGGATTCAAACCTATAATTTCTGGGTATGTGGCATTGTGCATGTTTATCAAGGAAAACCCTTGTAAATCAAGGAAAAATATATCCCTAAGTGATATGTAGTTACTGCTCTGATTCTATTTCACATTTACTCATGTTGAATAGCCTTTCATTCATCTCTAATTGATAGCATTTCCATGAATTATATAATTCGTAATAATGCCTTTGAGTCATTGGTAGTTATCTTTTTCCCCTTGTCCATGCTATGCTTCATCAGAGACTTGTGATAAAGAATTTATCATTTTGGCCTTTAAGATTGGTAAACTGAGTATCTGTGGCATTATAATTTGTTTTGGTAAGTTGGGATGCTGGTTTGTATCTCTCCCTAAAATAGTTAATTTATTTCATAGGTCGTGGGATAAGTGATGGATTGCATGGATATGTACCTTCATTAGATCACGTTGTTGCAAACACTGTAAGTGCAACTTTATGTATCATTCCATACTCTTGGCCTCTTGGATTGGTTGTGACATATATAAGGATGAAGATATTTATTATGTGATTCTTGGATTGGTTGTGACATGAAATCGAGTTTAAAACTAAAAGTTTTCATGAGGACTCGTGCTGGTATTCAAGGTGGTCAGGTGACTGAAGAAGAATTGATTCTTGAGGATAGAATTGATGAAGAAGAAGAGATCAAAGAAGAGGAGGATAATGAGAGCCAGTCCAATGTTCTTGCAAAGAAAAATTCGACTCCAATTGTTACA